AGTGGAGACAGGTGTGTGGGAGCCAGGCGTCCACAATCCAATCACCTCTGCTATAAGACTCCGGCCCTGACTACTCCACTTCGCCAGATCGTAGACTCTGTACCCACAGTCAGTCTCTAGCTTTGGAAAGTCTTCGATTGCGATTCCCTGTTTGACCTGTTTTCTCCTGTGCCTGCAGCTTCAAGCCAGCCTGACTCCTAGCTCCTGTCTCCAGACCACCTCCAACGTTGGACGCTGTCCCGCTCCTCCTGGCTCTTCTCCCTGCACTCTCCAACCTGGTCAGACCTCCGTTCCCCTCTCCCTTGGACTCCGTCGCTTCCCTGGCCCAGACCCCCCTGCCTACTGCCCAGTATTATTCAATAAACTGTTTTATTGTGCTTGAAACTCTTTCCTCCTGTCTCTGCTCTGCTCTTGGGTTGCTAGCCTTAACAGTACAATCTGGCCACTGTTAAGGCTTGCAGGGAACCCAGGAGCAGAGCAAGACAGGAGTTTCAAGCACAATAATAACATTTATTGAATATTACTGGGGGTCTGGGCCAGGGAAGCTAGACGGAGTCCAAGGGAGAGGGGAACGGAGGTCTGACCAGGTTGGAGAGTGCAGGGAGAAGAGCCAGGAGGAGCGGGACAGCGTCCAACGTTGGAGGTGGTCTGGAGACAGGAGCTAGGAGTCAGGCTGGCTTGAAGCTGCAGGCACAGGAGAAAACAGGTCAAACAGGGAATCGCAATCGAAGACTTTCCAAAGCTAGAGACTGACTGTGGGTACAGAGTCTACGATCTGGCGAAGTGGAGGAGTCAGGGCCGGAGTCTTATGCCAGAGGTGATTGGATTGCACGCACGCACACACACACACACACACACACACACACACACACACACACTGCAGAGCCACTATTTCAAGTATACTACGTCATCGAGTGGCGCCAAATGCTGGGCATTTAACATGCATTTAAACAGTCCTTCGGCGCCACTCGATGACGTAGTATACTTGAAATAGTGGCTCTGCAGCAGGTTTACTCGACATTGAGAAACGGCCACTGACTGGCAGAGGTGGAGGCCATGACAGCAACAAAGTGCAGTGGAAACAGACATAGTGAATAAATCCTGACGTAACATGAAGCATGTGACTTAAACAGCTGAGGAGGATGTAACCTTCCTCTAATACATGAAACAAATGTCTTCCAAGTCCATCGAGATTTCCACATTCTTCTCCCAACCTTTGAGGTTTGACTGGTGTTTTTGTAATGCTTTAATGGCATCGGTTCACAAGAGCGGCTGAAGAAATCCTACAGTCCAGCATGTATCTTGTTCTTCAGTCCAAGGACTTTGGGGGAAAGTCTTTCACCATCCATTTGCAAGAGCACTTTCTGAATGAATTCATAGTAGTACCTTAGCTCTTTGGGGTAAGCCATGTTCAGTGTATAGATGACTCCCAGCATGATGGCACAAGCTCGGGCTACAGATCCAATGTTGTCCAGAATAATTAGTCCTTCAACAAAAATCCCAACGTCGTCATAATGTCCAGGTTCTGCACCCTCCTTGTTGATGACATATATGCCCATGGTACATTTCTGCAGGTCTCTGGTGACGTCATCTCCTTCGATGTCCTGTATATTTAAAGAAAAAACATGTATTTATTCAATATATGTAATTTTAATGACATACTTTATCGTATCATTTGTTTGTAATATTGCTCACATACCTATTAATCCCTTAAAACAAAGCTGGTCATATTGTATATATTTCTGAATCAAACTAAATGTGTGAGGTGTTTTTAAAGATTTACGTAGGAACCAATAAGCTTGGTGCTGAGTGTCAGGAGTCAGAGAGGATTGGCAGATGGACAAAGACATTGTTGATTATGGTCTTTCCATTGGACAATAAGAACAACTATGAATAAAGCCAACCTCGTCGTATAAATAACCAAGCTGATGGTTTGAAATGCTTTAGTCTGTTGTTGAATATCAACATACATACATATAAATATTCTCAACCTTCATGCTCCTTATAAGGTAAAACATAATGATCTAAAATGGATGCCTGACACTAGGATCATAAAACACTACATGTGACTGGCAAATGCAATTACAATGACTCACCATATACTCCCGAATGAGATGTCCATCATCCTCACCAAGGTGGATGCAAAGTGCCTTGAGGATTGCTTCCCTTTTAAGGTTAACATCACTTGTTGCCTGTGTAAAAAAATTGCAATTATTAAAATATTTCTAAATACATCAATAATAACAAAATTGTCTATAAATTGTAGAAGATTTACAACCTGTAGTAACCTAAATATACAATATAATATATACAATGACTTCATTATACATGTAAATGGAATGCCCTAACTTAAGTATGTTAAAGAATTGTGACTTACTGTAAATGTATTACAATGTCAGAGGTCTGAATGTGTTAGGGCGATAGCACTGTTTACAAATTCTACTCATCCAGGGGCTTTTCACCAAGACCAATGCTCCGTTCTTCACAGTTCACACCTGGAATCTGCCTAGTACAACCACAGTCTGATCTGTTGGCAACTGAGGATTAAGTGACTTGCTCAAGGCAGGTTCTGCTTTTTCACTTTCCCCACCTGGGGATTGCATTTGCACCTTTCCAGTCACAAGCCTGCTTCTCTACCCAGTATGCCACTATTGCCTTATTAAGATCAGATTTCCTTAGAAATGTGTCTTGCATTCTTGAACCTGGCAAGTAATCCAGGCTGTTGTGAGGCAAATGGGGCTCTATACGGTACTAGACAAGTACATTTCATAAAATTGCTCCATAGAGTATATGACAATTTGTATAAAACAGTATACACACATTTACCTTTTGCAAGATCGCCAGATGTTTGGCTAGTTTCTGGCCAACAACTCCTCCCTTCTTCTGGAAGACAGATGTCAGCTGAGGTAGATGGCTGTCCAACTGCGCCATGAAGGCTGTTTCAAGTGGGATAGTTGTTATGCGCTGGAATTCAGCGTGTATCTGTTATGCAAAAACAAAACGACAAAAGACAAAGAGCACATTCAGCCATTGGTGTAATGATATTTTGTATCTACTATATAATTAAAGGATAGATTCTAATGTTGACCTCATTAACCAAGTCCTTAATAAGACCTGTATTGGTGCACAGTGTGTTCTAACCAAAGGATTTATATTAATCTAAGGTAATTGCAAGGATTCAAAACTAGACTTGTAAGCTGTATGGTTGTTTAAACCTTGCTAATACTTTAATTGACAATGGGTAAAATGTTGAGGTATAAAGTGAAAACCCCAAATCCAGCAGCAGCTGTTTTCTTCAGACAATCAAACTGACAGTTAGAGAATAGCTGGTGAAGAAAGCGGAACATTGAGCAGCTAAAGAGCCAAATACTTTACTAAGGAGTTGGTGGAGAGCATAAACAGAGCTAAAAGATGTGAATATTGGACTTATCAGATGGACAGAAACACCATTTCAAATGTATGATCATGTTGCTCTGTAGCAGCTCGATGTGTACAGCAAATAGGCATTTCACCATTCACCATGTGAAATATATAACTTACCTCATCAATATGGAGTATTGTGAGTAAGGTTCTGTTCCCCATCACACCAACATCAGATAGCAAAACCTGCAATAAAAATAAAGATGAGCAGAAATTAAAAATAATAATGTTAAATGAAAAAAGGTAATTGATTGCCAATGATTACTGACTTGGCCAATGACTCAAAATCCTACAAACTCCTTTGTGACAAACAATGTAACGTTTTTTTTTTGTTTTTTTAAATAGAGCCTAAATATTACTGGATGTGGAGCACTTTTGCTAAATGTTTAGACAAATTGCTTGTGTTACCGCCCTGACATGCTAAACTGTTATTGCACTTTATGGCAGCTTTTAAAAAGGGAGAAGCTTTTCTTTCTTTCATTGTACATGTATAATGACATTAAATGATTATATATTCTATTCTATAGCCAAAAGCAATAAATTATTTCTCACTTTTGGCAAAGAGCATTGTCCACCTCAAAACGGGTAACATTTAACCACACCTAGGAGCGCTTAGTTCTCTCTCCACCATGTGTGTGTGTTGCATGCATGTAGCAGCCGCGTGTGTATAAACTGCCCCACCCCCTCGCACACAGACGGGGAGAGAGAGATCTCTCCTCTGGATTGGAAAGATTGAAAATACATCGACGCATTTTGTCTTATTGCATATTATAAACGGTGTTGGCGAAACTAAGACTGCAATATAATGTTAAATGTCTCAAGTACCGATAAACAGACCGTCCTGCTAGAGAGGTGGTACTTTCCTGGGGAGAAAAGGTTAGTGGGTGTGTCGGCAACACTAACTATTTTTCACCAACTTATGGCAACACAAAATAATACATGGGAGCGGTGGAGTGATGAGGAGGTGTCGGCGCTTCTGGCGATTTACTCGGAAGGCTTCAGTAGAAGCCAGTCCCCAACTCCGGGGACTTCCGGTGGCAGTATACGCCGTGAAGTTGTTTGCGGTGTAGTGGGGCCGACACACCCACGAACCATTTCCTCCTCAGGAAAGTAATAACTCGCTAGCAGGGACTATCTGGGGGTGGAAATAAGGTTCGGGGGGAAAAGTACTCGTGTGAAACGTTATATATGAACGTTAGCCTCGGTAACATTAACCCCTTGCCGCCAGAGAGTAACGTTACCAAAACCAACGTGATTTCACATGCTTAGTTGTGTCCTAATATTACCACAGTGATAAGAACAAGTTAAACAAAAAACATACTTACAGCCGGTCAGGAACACAGTAGGCTAGGAATGGCCAGTATACAAGCCAGGTGAAGCTACAAAAAAAAAAGCATAGTAACAGGCAGTATTCAACTTGTATTAGCCACAAACTAATAATAAAGTCTAACAAGACAAAGATTGAATTTATCACGTATTTAATTTGAGAGCAGTATCAAGTTATCTTATAATGTTAATGATACATGTTACACTTCAATTAGGTTACTTAAACATTACTACACAACTAATCTAGGTTAACAGTAGGCTAACAGTTAGCTAGCTGCTGTAGGCCTACGTTTGCTAATGTTAATCTATCAAAACACACAGTCAATAGCGTTAATGTTAGCTATTAATCTACCTGTTTAAGTATAATATAATACACCCAAGGCTATGAATGAGCTACTTACTTAAAACGGAGAGCCGTGGAGAACGTTCACCTCACGACAGAGGAGCTACGCAGGCAGTCAGGTGATGGTCCTTCCGAATGGAAAATGGAGGGAAAAGTGGCGGGCTGCTTGTGTATGCACATGCGCAGACAGGACAGTATATGTGGTAATTAAATTGTACATGTTTTTTTCTAATTACTTTTAAATGAATGAAATGAGCTTGTTTTAAACAGTGACAATAAATGTTAAGATTAATTAAAAAAGATAAGAAGGATGCAATAACACATTCAAATCTATTAAAAAAGGCTAGATTAAAACATGTAACATCTAAAAGGGGTCATAATCAGTTTTTTCAGTGTAGGAACTCTCAAGTAAACACGTGGCTCATAACCCTTTAGGAAACGCCCCCTATATGATCCTCCCCTTATAGGAACCGCCCCCTGCCTAAGGTCTGCATCCAGACCCATCTCCCTGCTGGGTGTAAAAAAGTAGGGCTTAACTCTAACGTCGGCCTTAGCTACGTCCGACTTAGTGATTCAAATTTAAACCGAGTGCACCAAGCCTGACTAGTCTCGGGCGTAGCTGCGCCTGGTCTTAAGATGCGCGTCCACGTGAATACACGCAAAACAGTAATTGTTGCCAAGCAACACACATCTATATAATTGAACACTCGAACTCCTCCATTCAGAGCAAGCTAATAATTGAATAACGAATATGGATAACGGAAAGAAGAGAAAAACCAATTGTATTGATAGAGAGATTAGAACATTCATTAAAATATATGCAGAGCATAAAAACTCGCTAACTGCCAAATGTAATAATACCATGACAAACAAACACAAACTCGCAGCCTGGAAGTCAATCACTGGTGCGATAAATGACTTGGGTGATGGAGGGATACGGACGGTGGAAGAGTGTAGGAAAAAGTGGAAGGACCTACTATCCAGAGCCAAAAAGGATGCATCTGTTCTCAAAAACCCTCCGACCGGCGGAGGCCCTGCTCCAAAAACCTCTCCATACAGCGAAATCATTATTGCTATTTTTGGAGAGGATTCCCCCACTTTCACCGGGTTGAATGGGATCGACTGCTCAGAGCCCTCAACCTCAACATTTGAAGAGGTTGACGCAGACGTGTCAGCTGTCACTAGTGGTAAGTCATTAATAGAGTAACATCACCCTGCATTATCTATATACATATTACCCCCGTGAGACATCACGGCGAGCAAGATAACAATTAGCAATCGCGGCAGTTGATAGCAACTGACAATAACTGACAGTATCTTGCCATTTTACAGACTCAGAGGACCGCAGAGAAGAGGGAAGTCACACACCCACAGCGTCAGCGATGACTCAAGGGGAATCCCAAATGGCCACACTCCGAAAGAGAAAGAGGGATTTGTCAGAGCTACAGCGGGAACTGACGGAGAAAGAAATCGTTCGAGTGGAGGTGGAGACCGTAAAATTGAGAGCGGAACACGAAAAAATTGAGATGGAGAAATTGAGACTCCAAATAATAATTCTTAAGAATCAGCTACTAATCACGGAAGAAGACAATGTGTTCACCGTTCTGTAATCATGTTGAACTTGTTTTTTATCTCAATTTCATGTTAATAGTTCTCCAAAATGTTGTTATTTAATGTTCTTGTGTTCTTTGAATAAAATAGGCCTAGTGAAAATATGTGGTCACAAAGGGAGCTTATTGAAATGCAATTGCAAAAAAACAGCATTCATATTACAAATATATAGGTCTATAGGTTGTTTATTATATGATTGCGGGTAAGTCCTGGAGACGGAAGAATAATAGGTCTTCTTAAACATCAATAAGGGATGTAATGTATATACTTTATTTTTCTAAATTCATTATTCGTTGGTCGTTTTACGGCTCCCTTTTGGCTAATTTGAGTAATTGATTCTGAGAGAACAATTAGGGGCCGGTGTGTAGGAGCCGCATTTAAGTTTATTTTGATTTATTTGGAACCTTTATTAATGCATTTTTCTGTTTCAGTGAGAGGTGTGCTTTGCTCAGGGAAGGGGGCGGAGCTAAGGCTTTAAGTTGGAGGTGCGGTGTGTGACGGGAGAGCAGCAGGCAGCAGCAATACCGTCATTGACACGCAGACGCAACGTTATACTTTGTCAAATACAGATTATTAGGATCTGCTGTTTAAGTTTATGTTACATATTGTTTTCCTATTTTGTTTTATGTTTTGCTGGAAATAAACGTTGAAAAGCAACCGAAACGTCCAGTGTATTGTGTACTGCGAGTCTGACACTGCTTCCGAGGCCCAAGCTCTACATGTGGCCAAGAACAATAACTTTTGAGGTGAAGGTTACAAGACAAACATTTTGGGATTTTGGCCACTACAAGACAATGTGTTCACCGTTCTGTAATCATGTTGTACTTGTTTTTTATCTCAATTTCATGTTAATAGTTCTCCAAAATGTTGTTATTTAATGTTCTTGTGTTCTTTGAATAAAATAGGCCTAATGAAAATATGTGGTCACAAAGGGAGCTTATTGAAATGCAATTGCAAAAAAAACAGCATTCATATTACAAATATATAGGTCTATAGGTTGTTTATTATATGATTGCGGGTAAGTCGTCCACCGATATCTTCACGGATGCCAGCAGGAGCCACAGGGTTCTCATCCGCCTCCAGTACCAATTCTCCTTGAAGGGGGATTCTCTTTTTCACACAGATGTTGTGCAGCACCGCAGTGGCAGCAATGATCACGCAGACGCACTCAGGGTGCATTCGCATTTCACTGTGGAGGCACTGAAACCTACAAAAAAAGCAAAAAACAATTTAGCCTATATCTACATTAAAAGGCTGGCCTTTTATATATTATAAAAATTACTTACTAACCTACGTTTGAGCACTCCAATGCAGCGCTCTACAATGTTCCTCGTTTGTGTATGCTTGTCGTTATAGCGGCGCTCTTGTGCAGTTCTCTCTGCGATGACAGGTGTCATTAGCCAGTGCTTCAGAGGGTATCCACTGTCTCCGAGAAGAAGACCATTCAATCTCCCTGCCTCAAATTCCCGTTGAAGGGCGCTCTCTCTCAGGATGTGAGCATCATGTGTCGACCCAGGCCATCTTGCAACGAGGTCGACAATGCCCATGTCCGAGTTGCACACAATTTGAATATTTATAGAATGGTAACCCTTTCTATTAACATACAAATACTCATGTTCAGAGGGGGCCTGAATGCGAACATGAGTACCGTCGATGCATCCGACAATACCAGGTAAACCTGATTTTAACAAAAGATCTTGTCTGGATTTAGCTGCTTCTTCTTGTGCGGGTAGGTGAATATAGTTCCTAAGGTGGTGCTGGAGGGCTATTAAAACTTGTCTTATAGCCCGACATGCAGTTGTGCGATGAACATTAATCATGTCTCCCACAGTATTTTGAAAGGCCCCCGTTCGCGTAGAATCTGAGCGCAATCAGCACCTGCAAGGTTGGGGAGAGCGCAGCGTTTCGGTCTGATCCGTGCTGGAGTTGAGGGGAGATCTCCTCGATTAAATCAAAAAGGGCTTGTCTGCCGAAACGAAACCTCTCTATCAGTTCACTGAATAGATGTGCAGTGGGTTTGTTCGATCACGGACGACTCTTTCTCTTCTTAATGCCCTTGCATTGTTAAACATGTAAAGTGTAGCATGTGTAAAGGAGTTAAAAATGTGTATACTTAACTATTAGTTATAAATTACGATTTGCAATAGGTTGTGCATTTTATTTCAATGATATTGTTTCCTTTTAATATTTGTAAGTATTGTTTCTAGTGGGAACACTTTCCCGTTGCACATCGCATTCTACTTCCTGTATGTAATTTCCGCTTTACGCTCACATTGAAGTGAGCGTAAGCTGTGCTAGGAATTGTGTCATTACAATTTTGTGTGTTAAACCGGCTATTTAAGTTTATGAAAGTGATGTATGTTAAGTGTCAATGTGGGTATATTATTAACCCATTTTTGTTAAGTTTCCACCATAAGAAATTGTATTTTTCAGTAATATTTATGGTGTGTTTTTGGTGGGAAATAGACACGATCTGGGTCATTTTCATGTCAACACTCTCTGACTTTTGTAGGGTAAATGTCAAACTTGGTGACTTTTCCTAAAACGGGTATATTAATCATCGAGTGCATTTTGGGGCTTGGGGAATTAAGAGAGAGGGAAAAATATATACTTTGCCGCCAGACCCCATTGCCAAGCAACACTTATTGTCAGTGGCGGCGCCAGGGTATGAAAAATGGCTTAGCCCTACCTTAGCCCGACCATGAAAAAGTATGTTAAAGTAAGCATGTTGAGAACACGGATTGCAAAAATCTACCGGTCGTGTCCACAACACACAAACTGATCCTGCTGTAACAAGTGCACGTTACTGACGCAATATGGTTGAGACCATTCGGGCTTATTCTAGAGGGGTGCAAGGAATAGTCTAAGTAGTGGGGGAGTTTTATACACTAAAGCTGTGGAAATTATTTCGCGTTATAATATCAGCGCGGCCGCGGTCAGATCAAAAGGCCTCCGAATGCAGCCACACCCCGTTGCCAGACAACCCTTATAAGTCACGCAGCTCGGTGATCACCTGAAGCTCAGCCGCTGTAATGGACCAGTGAGCGGAGCAAAACACACGTTTCAAGTTAGACCAAACACACGTGGCTATTTTATCTACCTCTGGAACAAGCTAAACTAGCTAAACTAGCTAAACTAAGAAATCAATGAATAAATATTAGGGATGCTCCGATCGATCGGCCACCGATCGATATCGGACGATACTCACTCTCTACCGATTGATCAGGCTCTAAGGAGAGGGGGAGAAAGGGAGAGCGCTTCCGCTCATTTCTCCCGTGTTATTATCCACAGTTAATGTAAACCTGAATAATGTACTTAATTTGAATGTAATAATTATGTTGGTTGTTGTTTGTGGAAGCTCCAGTGAATGAGCCCATTAACTGAGTTTTAAACATCACTTTAAATGGAAGATCCCCATAGGCCCCGCCCACTCGATCTGATCGGCGATCGGTATCGGCCGATGCTGATTCCGGCGATTGGCGATCGGCCCCAAAATTGGCGATCGGAGCATCCCTAATAAATATGTTCAATAATCAATTAAATCTACATCTAATCTAAAATGTTACTTGATTTAAGAATAGGGGAACTAGTACAAAGGTCATTAAAACATTAATATAAATGAATGTAAAATCTCATCAATAAATTATTGCCAACATGTATTTATAATATATTCTGTATATATATACACAGAATATATATATTTTTGAGAGAGATATACACTAGTATTAGATGCAGTCAAAAGTTTGGACACATCTTCTCTTTCTAAGTTTTTATTTAAATTGGTTCTACTTTCTAGATTTATACTGAAGACATCAAAACTATAAAATAACACATTAAAGGTGGTGTAGGTAATTTTGGAGAAACCAGCTCGAGTGAGGCTGACAGGCAGGTAGGCCATCCAGTTACTTTAGCCGGGCCGGCTCAGATGATTGGTCGTGCTTTTTACAGTACTACGGCTTCCACAGATGACATGTTTTTATGGATTTTTTTGTCAAAGCACTTTTTTGCTATCGGGATGTTAAGAGCATTCCATGGAATATAACAAAAAGTGTATCTCGAGCCGGTTTCTCAAACTTACCTACCCCACCTTTAACTGGAATTATCTAGTGAACAAAAAAGTGTTAACAAATCCAGAATATGATTTATATTTTGCTGGCTACTGCAGAATGCTGTGGTAGCCATGCTGGTTAAGGGTGCCTTGAACTCTGAATAAATCACCAACAGTGACACCAGTAAAGCCCCCCCCCCACCACCATCTCACCCCCTCCTCCATGCTTCACGGTGGGAACCACTCATGCATAAACCATCCGCTCACCTTCTCTGCGTCTCACAAAGACACATCAGACTAAAGTACAGATTTCCACTGTCTAATGTCCAATCCTTGTGTTTCTTGGCCCACACAATTATCTTCTTCTTGTTCATCCTCAGTAGTGGATCTTTTCAGCAATTGGACCTTGAAGGCCTGATTCACGCAGTCTCCTCTGAACAGTGGATGTTGAGATTGTCTGCTACTTGAGCTCTGTGATCATTTATGTGGGCTCTAATCTGAGGTGCTTTCATTTGCGGTTTCTGAGTCTGGTAACTCTGATGTGTTTATCCTCTGAGCAGAGGTAACTCTTGCTCTTCCTTTCCCGGGGGGGTCCATATGAGAGCCAGTCTCATCATAGCGTTCCATGGTTTTTGCGACTGCACTTGAAGATACATTCAAAGTTCTTGACATTTTCCGGATCGACTGACCTTCATTTCTTAAAGTGATGATGGACGGTCGCTTCTCTTTACTGAGTTGAGTGGTTCTTGCTATAATATGGATTACAACAGCAGTAAAATAGGGCTTTCCACTGTGCACTAACTCTACCTCTGCACAACACAACTGATGGTCTCAAACACATTCAGAAGGCAAGTCATTCCACACATTGACTCTTGACAAGGCACATGTGTTAATAGAAAACCATTCCAGGTGACGACCTCATGAAGCTGACTGAGAGAAGCCAAGAGTGAGCAAAGCTGTCATCAAGGCAAAAGGGGCTACTTTGAAGAATCTAAAATAAAAATCATTTTCTTGATTTTTTTAACACTTTTTTGTTAACTAGATAATTCCATATGTGTTCTTTCATAGTTTTGATGTCTTCAGTGTTAATCTACAAAGTAGAAACAAATTAAAATAAGCAAAAAACATTGAATGAGAAGGTGTCCAAACTTTTGACTGGTACTGTATATAAAAAAGACATATTTGAACATTTAGCAGGTTCCCTCATCTATAATCATTTATACAAGCGCAACTTTGAACATGTGCAGCAGTAAAATGCAACATACAAAATAATCAAGAAACAACATAAATTAAACACTGACAGGGAACATTTTACTACACCATCATTACTGTTACATAAGAAGGTGCCGTCAAATGTTCTGTTAATACTTGCATACTTTTACTTAAATAAGGTTTGAATGCAGGATTTTAATTTGTAACAGTATTTTCATTCTATACTGTAGGCGTAGTGTATCTGTGAACGATCCCAAATACAATTCCTTGTTTACATTTCGGCTAGTGCTACGCCAGAAGAAAAAACCCTTTTACATTTTGAACTGGAAGTGGAAAGGGGCTGGGCTACATGAGGTGACTTGAGCCAACAACAATACACAATAGGTGGGACTAAGAAAGATAATGTGAAAATATAAAAACAAAGGCATTAATTAGGGCTGCAAAATGTCTCCCATTGTAATGGTGATGAGATTTTTAAATGCTAACACTTAACAGTTTGTTCTGACTGTGTGTTTCCTACAGACGTCCAGCAGCTGGTGGTGGTTAAAGAAGAGCTTCTCCCTGACCAGCAGGACCCAGAGCCCCCCCCACACATTAAGCAGGAACAGGAGGGAGAGCAGCTTCAGGAGCTGGAGGAGGCTGATATCACCAAGTCCA